TGTCCCGGCCGAGGCCCCGGGCGCGGCCCGAGGGGAGCAGGGCAGAGCTGCGCGGGGCAGGTGTGAGCCAGAGGCACTGAGGGTGAGAAAAGGGAATGAGGCAATCTCGTAAAAACAAAAACAAACCGAGCAACCAAAGCAAGCTAAGCAAATCTCGTAAAAACAAACCGAGCAACCAAAGCAAGCCGAAAAATAACCACCCCCAACGGAAGGTCGTGGCTAAATGCTGCTCTCCTAAAGATGCGAGGGCTGAAGGGCCTGAGCAAAAAGTGCTCCTGAAGACAAAAGGATGTGTCCTGGGTCATGGCGAGACAGGCCGTGAGGGCTCAGACAGACCTGGTGAAAATCAGGTCATTGGCTTCCCTGGAGGGCCCTATGGCCTGCCTGGCAAATCCCTTTGTTTCCAGTCTCTTGTTTTGCTGTATATTTTGACGTAATGATAATTACTCATTTATGTGGTCCTTTCCTTTCAGGGGATTCCGGAATCGCCTCCCGTGTGATGTGCAGTGTGGTGAGTGCAGCTGTTTGGAAGTGTTGAACGCTGCTCCTGATGAGCAGTGGGGGATAAGGAATCATCCTATTAGCCTTCTGCAGCACATGGTGTTTCTCCCAGGGCCTGACTACTCTGCGTGGTTCAGGCTGCCTCAAAACCATGAACATCATCACCTTTCAGGCACAGCAGAGCTCTCTGCCTTGGACTGAAGTTTAGGGAACTTGGGGACAGTGAAATAGCTGCTGAGAAGCTAATGACCACCACCAACACAACCCTCTTCTGTCCTGTCTGTTGGTGTGCCTCTGTGACCTGTCCTTTCCTACAGCAGCATGCACCAGCCTCCGTATTCAAAACTCAACAAAATGCAAACTATACCCTTTCCACGTCAAGACCCTCCACTGAACACACACTTCTGCCTCGAGGGAGAGGACAAGACAATGAATAGTATGTGACAGATGTCAGTCACATCACTTAATGCCTCACTGGAAGGCACTGGGATGCTCCTGGATGCGGGCAATGCAAGAGGCAGAACAGAATCAATCTGGGAGAGGAACTGAGACAGAAAGATCAAACATAGCCAAGCTGGAATGTCGTGGGGGCACTGGAGTGCAGAGCCTTTGCACTGCAAAATGGCCCCGAGCATATGTAGTAACTGTGGACATTTTCTGTGGTAGCTGACTGAAGGCAGGGAATGGTTGAAGGTTTTCATTTACATGAATGCACTTTGGGACAGTATTTTAAGCAAAACTCCAAAGGACCAGAGGAAGACCAAGTCTCCTACTCCAACTCTGAGAATTGGCATAAATGCTGTCAAGGTATTACTTCTTTCTGTTCTGTTTCTATCTCCCCAAATGCATTTCTAAGGCTGGTGGTGATTTTGTGCTGCCCCTTCAGAGACACTGAGAGAAGCCCCTTAATGCAGTTTGGGCACTTACCTGTTGGAAATTTTCTCAGAGCCCACATACAGGGCACTCCTCATGAGTCCAGCTCGAGTGCCCAAAAACGCCATTTCAACCCCTGCCTCAGAGTCCCTGTGGAACAGAAACACACAAGCAGAAGCAAACAGTTCTCAGAAGAATAGCCATCTCCCTGCCCCAGGGTGAGGGCCTTTCAAAACAGAAGTCAGACCTGGAGACATGGTCCCAAGTTCATTTGCAATATAACTGATTTACACTAGGAGTGACACTGGTTCCTCCCTGCTAATGGCAACAGGTTGTTACTGGCTAACAATTGCCAGGTTTAAGACTTGTATTTAGATTCATACTTTTGAAGTTTGCTCTCTTAAGTAGACCATAAGCTCCTCTCCCCCTGCTAGCCCTGCTCCAGGCTGCCTTCATGATGCTGAAGTGAAGGAGAGGAACTGCACAGAGAGAATGGGCAGCATAGCAGAATGTCTCTGAAGAGAGTGTGTCGGTGTAGCTGCTTAAAGTTGTGCTGATAACTGGGTGTCCTAGCATGATTGTCACTGGCTCAACCTCTGTCAGTGGTAGGGATACTAGTAACTGAAACAGGACTGTCTCTCTAAGTACCATGTTGTCTGCTGAAATAGGATCTGTGTGACATGATACAGGATACTACAAGCAACAGGTGCCTCACTGGAAATAATAAAGTAGAAAGTTGTTTACTGAAGCCAGCTTGTCTGCTACCTTGCTGAGGCTCAGTCTGAAGGCATCACCAATAGAGACAAGACCAGACTCCCTTTTCTTCACAAAAAAAATCACCCTCACCAAACAAAAGTCTCTTGCAAACATGCCCAGCCTACTGGAATTCACTCCTGAGAGACATTTTTGGAGTTATTTCTAAAGCTATTGAGCTATTTCTAATGTTTCTTGTATGCTGTGCAAGAGTCTGTGACTGTTACAGGCACTGCATAAGCCCACTGCATCTGGAAATGCATCTTCAGTGGTGTTCTACCCATATTTATTGCTCATACACTTACAGGGACATATTGAGGGCTAGTGTTGTCCAGTAGGCCTCCATGGGTGCAGTGACCACTGCATCAAACAGCACTTCCTGGACCAATTCCTCATCACCTAAGAAGAAGGAAGAACAATAACCAGGAGAGAAAGACACATTCCTCCCTAGATGTTTTAGAGAGTTTCTTGGTAAGGAGCATCTGCCTGACCAGGACAGTGGAGCAATGTGGCACAAAGAGGCCTCCCATTACAGGGCAGAGAAGATGACCTGGGATGGTGGAGAGCACAGGAACAAATCTTACTGTCAAGATCACCAGACCAGTTCCCCCCTCAGTGGAAGGGTGGTGCCCAAACAAGCGTGGGCAAGTGAGAGGCTTTCAAATGAAGTTAGTAATTAGACCTTCACTCAATCTACTCCTTTCTTGAACAGGCTGTCCACAGCCATCGCCTCAAATCCCTGCCTTGACCTTGCTCCTAGGTATCCTGCAGAGAGGATACCAGACACTGCATTCCACTCAAGAATCTTCCTTCAAAACCAGTAGTGACATCTTTATGGCCTCTACTCTGTCCTTGTGCTCACTGGCTTCCCTGTTAGCCCTCCTTCCTTCCTGCAAGTCTCGTTTCCACCAGATGCTCAAGCTAGTCTAGGCTACCAGTCTGATCCACTCTGGACTGGAACTAAGAGGTGATTAGGAAGGTTCAAGGCATCATCAAGTGCTAAATGACATACCCCCAAACCCTGTTTCTTTGACCTGTTTCATTTCTGTACTGCTCTGCTTGCATTAATCTCCTGTGAGAATAGGATGGCCATCATATTGCAAATATGCCTCTTTCAGTGCTGTTCTAGATGGATCTAGAAAGCTCCACTTTCTGGGTTGATGTTCCAGGTCTCCCTTAATATTTTATCCCAAGTTCTCCCAACTTTCTTTGTCACAGCTCTCATCCTTGTCTCACTCTCTTCATCCTTGTCGTCATTCAAACCTCAAAATCAGAGCTCACCACAAGATCTTTCCCTCTCCAGGCCCCCTATGTCTAGGATGTGTTCTAATCATGTTTGGTTTTCCCTTCACAGCACTTCCAAGTCTGCATGTTTCTCTTAGTCAGGTCTCCTGAAACTTTCCTCCTCCTCATCCCTGGCCTCTTCAACTCATGTATCTCCTTTTTCCAGGCTGCTCCAAGGACAGCCAGGAGAGTCTGCTCACATTGTGCAAGAGAGGAAAAATTACAGGATTACATTTGATTTTAGTTTTAAGAGAGCCCCATCCTCGTGCCTCTCAGGTGGAGCACTACATGCAAAAGCTTGTACTTGGCACAGCTAAGGGGGCTAAAGCTAAATTGCTGTAAGGGGTTGTCATGCACAGCTGCCCACCTCTGTCCCCTGACAGAGATCCCACTCTGTAGTGGTGCTATATCAGCTGCTTGTGTGGCTACATGTTGCCTGGGGAATGGGACCTCATGCAAGGGATGAGCAGCAAGAGGAGCAGGAAAGATAATAATTCTATAACAATTTTACCACCCTGGATCAGTTAGCTATTGCATTTGGAAAACAAAATTAGTGATCCTTGTTCTGAAGTAACCCATCTCTCTAGATGGCACCGTGAGCCCTTGGAGGGTGATGACTGGGGCCCTGGGAAGCTGAATAGTCTCAGCACTTTTCCTGGCTCCTCCTGACATTGTCTCCTCTAGCCAACCTGGTCAGTCTGTCTTAAACATGGTGTGCAGTCCCTGCCAAGCTCCATTCAAGCCTTTCACTTTTCAGTATTTCCTGTGCTGAGACCTCCAATAAGGCTGTGTTATGTGTCAGCTTTGAAATGGAAAAAACCAACTCTGATGGAGACAAGGAAGTGGATCCTCAGCTTATTTCCACTTGTGAATTAATCTGGGTTTGAGCTATGTGAGCAGGTGCCACAGGAGCTTAGTCTGACACCAATCAGTTTGCCACAGTTCCCCTTCCCTTGTGATGGGTACAGGATAACCTCAGCAGGGCCCTTTCAGTGCTTGAGACTCACATTCCAGGTCAGGCTCCTCTCCAGTGAGGAAACGGATCACAGCCTCCAGCTGGCTGAGCTTTCGGTGGTCTGGATCAATGTCAGTGATGCAGTAAATCCTGGTGGGAAGGAGAGAAGAAGCCCACAAGAGCAAAAAGAAAGAAACCACAGTCAATAGTTTGCCAGTCAAATGTTCCTGGAAGATAACTGCCAAAAAAAAAATTCAGCAAGAAACCTTGGACTGCAAACATTTTGTTACTGCTGCATGCTGTGCCCACTCAGAACCTCACAATGTGGCTGTAAGTCAAACCCTACCCATAAACCAAGCACCAATTAACCTGACTGCTGTGCTTAGTAGGGCTGCTATGTTTTCCAGCATAAGCTTACAATACAACACAGCTGTCCCAAATCTTTCCAGCAGTATTATATGTTGTGTAAGATATGTTCGTGTGTCCACATAGACAATAACGATGTGACGGAGAGACCTGAAAAGCAGAGGGTCATGTGCACTGTGAGTAAGACCAGGCTAGGAGCAGAAAAAGCAAGAGACAGAGAAACAAAATATGTGATGAGGAATGATCTTGCAGTATGATATGGTGACAACAAAAGCTGTCCCAAAGGGACATAACTGCAGGAGCCTCAGGACACAGTTTGGGGAGGAGTAGAAGAATGGATTACAAATGCTCTGTATTATAAAAGAAACCAGTCTTGTAATCCTGCTTCCAATTTTGATTGCTTCATTGTCAGGACGAGGGAGAGGAAGGGGTTATAAAAGAGAATTACAACTCATAAAGGGGCTGAAAGGAGTGATTTATGAGAGAAGTCTAAGAGAAATGAATATGTAAAGTGTGGTAAGCTGACACCCCAAGTCAGATGTAGAAGAAGTCACTGCTTGTGTCTCAAATGCACTGCCTGTGAAACCTGACAGTGTAATGAGAGGTGAGAAGGGGTGCAGGGCTTCTTGAATATAGTTATTTTGGCTTTGATACAGGCTGGGTTCATGTGACTGAGTGTAACTGAATGTTGGGTTCATGAAAACCCCAAAGCTCACAGCAATAAATGGAAAGTGCCATGCTTCACTCTGTTTCATATCCAAACCAAGCAAAATCATAAATTCTGCTTGCTATTGAAACAGGGCTCATAAATCACCTGCATGTTCACTAGAAATTAGGTCTAGGCTCAGTTCAGAAGAATGCCAACCAAAAATAAGCTAGGAATTAAAAAAGCATTTCAATCTCTCACCAAGCTTGCAACAAAATTTCCTGACAGGTCTGACATACTGTAGGTTTTGTAAGACAATTCTGAGCAGCACGAGGGGGAACAAAATAAGTTTGAGCACAGAAGACTGAGGATAAATCTCAGATGTTTCTCAGCAGAGGAATGTGCCAGGTCTTAGTGGGGTCTCCCAAAGGAAGAAGTAGAGCTGAATTGCCTGGAGACAGTCAGGTCTTTCCAGGTACAGCCTCTGAACAGCACTGCTTTTTCTCTAGGCCACAGAGGGTGCTGAACACAAGCCAAATTGCTGGGAACTTTGCCCAAATCTCCTGACAAACTCCTGTGTCACTGCCAGGATTTCCTCCACTTACCATTCATTTGCTAAAGACAAGTCTGGCTGGAGCAGGTCATGCAAACCTGAAACCAGATCAAACATGGAGCACTGAGTTAGGTAGCAGACAGAGATACAGGCTGTGGAGAAGACATTCAGAGGAGCTACCTTGTCCCTTGGGACAGCATGGCCCTCTCAGATTAACCTACCTTCTTCCACTGAAGTGTTCCCTAGCAGAATGTACTCCCCGTGTCCCCTGGACAGCACAACACCCAGGCTGCAGGCAGGAAGGAAGGAAGGAAGACAGAGAGCTGGTCAGCAAGAAAAGTGTCATTCCTAAACACGATGCTGCATTCCTTTCAGTTACAACCCTTAAAGACATCAACTCTCTCCACAGCTATTACAAAAAAGAACATCATCAAAAGAGGATTAAGTGAGATCCAATTTCAGCACAAGAGGCTAATGAACCTGCCTGTAGAGCTATGAGGCATTTCAGGTGACAATTTTTTTGGCCAACATTGTAGGTTCAGGTCAACAATAACAACTCAATTCCATGCCAGTTGCAAACCATTTTGGCTGGGAAAAAACCCCAAAAACCAAAAACCAAGCCACAAACAAATACACACACACAGACTTTGCTTGATTTGTTATTTGATGTTTTATAATTTTCAGTTTATAACAATGCTGGGGTTTTTTGAAAGCCATACACCAGAACATACACCATATTCAGTGGAACTGAACGTTGAAGATGTCTCATTTCCATGAAATGAAACAATATGCTTCACCTAAGGTATAGAATTTGGACTCTCAACCGCAGGCAAACCATAGTATTTATTTAGAGTTGACCCCAAACAATATTTTAATGGCTGTAGGAACAAAGAAGTCAGTTATTCACACTGATGAGCTGTAACCAGTTTTATGAAGAAAAGGGACCAATCTGCTGTCCCTGATCATACTTTTGATGCACTGCACTGGTGTCCCATGAGTCTTTGCTCACCTGAAGGGTGTGTCACTGATGTCCGTGAAGAAATAATCATTGGTGAGGAAGAGAACTCGTTTCTGGAATAAGAGCATGAATAAGAAAGTAAGAGACCATCTGACAGACCAAGAGCATAGCAGTGATGGGACAGGGGATATATGCCCCCAAAGCTAAGCAGAGGCAGTTGATCATTACCAATACTTCATACCCTGCTAGGGCTAGCTGGAGGCAGGGATGAATGTGCAGTATTCAGCATATCCAGCACCTTGTGACTTTCAGGATCCAGGCAGCCACTCTGTCTTTCCAAGTAGGGCTCCAGTTAAACCCTTCTTTGCTCTAGGGCTCCTGCACTGGCTGCAGAAAGGGGTGGGGAGAAGCTGCCCTCCCTCTTGCACCCTCCAAGCCAACATGCTGGGACCCTGCTGCCCTTCTACTACACATAGCAACCTTTACAGCTTTGCACATCATCATCATCATCATCTCCAGCAGGAGGGAGGCTCAAGTGGGGCAGGTAGGAAGGAGAGGTGGGGTTGAAGGAGAGTCAGGATGGCAAACCTACCCAGTGTGTGGGTGGGCAGCCAGGGCCAAGTCTCCCCACTGCTGTGGGAAATGCTGATATTCCTGACATTTGCTTTCACGCCAAACTGGGACAAAACATTAGCATATTCCAATTTTGTTAAAAAGCATCAGTAAAAAAAAAATAATTTGCATTTTCAATTTGGAAAAAAAGTGCTGATTCAAATCCAAGTCATTTTGATTCACAGGCAAATATTTTTTTCAGACTGACATTTCAACTGAAGACATTTTGGATTATTGAAAGCTGCTTCAGAACTTCAGCTCCTTGCCAGACTGGCCTTTTCCTGTAGGAAAGTGTTGATTTCAGTGGAACTCTTTTCCAAAGGAGAGAAGTTTTTGGAAAGTTTCTATCCAAGCCTTATGCCAGTATATGAACCCTAATATGTTTAAAATCCTAGACCCAGTCTGAAAATGAGGTGAGAGGATGTGTGTGGGAGACAGGGGAGTGAACACAGAACACTCAGTGTTCCCCAGGGATAGTCATGCCTGCTCTAACCTGCTCAAGCTGTGCAGCAGTGGAATGGAGCGAGGCACAAAGGGTGAGTCGGCACCAGCTCCACAGTGTGCACTGAGTTTGTGCTCACTGAGCTGATGAGGATGGGGGATCGTTAGGTGAGGAGGAAACAGGTGGCTCAACCCCTTCCCTCCTTTCTCTCCATGCATGGCAACTGCATACTGCTCAGCAACAGGGTCTTTTACTGTGCCAAGATCACACGGAATCATTTAGGTTAAGATGACCGAGTCCAACCTTTGACTGATAGCCACTTTGTCAACTAGACCATAGCACTAAGTGCCACATCCAGTTGTTCCTGAACATCACCAGGGATGTTGACTCCACCACCTCCTGGGCAGTCCATTCCAATGTTTAACAAACCTTTTCATGAAGAAATTCCTCCTGATGTCCAAGCTCTTTCAAAGTGCTGCGATACCCCCAGAAAACATTGCATGTTGATGCTTTGGTGGCTGTGGGGTTGGTACAGGAGGTATTAACCCTCCCTTTTCTTGCCAGTCTGATCTGATGATGGAGGCAGGGAGGCATGAAGAAGACCTGGCCACTCTGAGACCCTTTCCTTTAGCAGGGCTTGTTCTGCTCATCCTTTGTTCCCCTGACCTGACCTTCTTCTGCACATGCAGCCTCTCAGCACCTGTACCTTACAGGAGGGTGGGCAAACCTCAATTTGAGCAGGGGGAGAGGGTGGGTGGCCATCCCTCCCCAAGACAGCTGGAGGTATCACCACTTATTCATGGGAAGGAAGAGAAGCAGAGGCAACCCTGAGCCAAACGGGGCTGAGGATGATCAGACAGGACTTTGCTACATAGTGGGGATCAAGGGAAAAGAGAAGAGAATGTGCATGTTTGCATCATGATAGGATGGCTGACTCCCATCAGCTGCAGTCTAAGAATGTGTATTTCCAGTCTTGGTATTGCTGCTCTACTAGGTGTCCAGTCCTGACTATGGCCATTGCTAGTGGTTTGTCACAGCTCCTACCCATGTCCTTGCTCTTTAGGTTTCACAGTCCCAATCCTTTTGTACTCCAGCTGCAAGCAAAGGCATTTTTGCCACTAGATCTCTCTAACAACTATCTTCTGTATTTCGTCCTTATTTTTCCCCTCTCTGTCTCACTCTATTCTCAATACCTTACTGAGCTCAACCTGCGGAATCAGTGTTTATGTGGCTGACACAGTAATTTCCATTCCCTTCACTGAGCCCTTCTCTCTGCAGTCTGAGTGCCTCATTCTCTTTGTTTCAAGGCTCTGTCAGCACTTTCTTTGTTTCAATGCTGCTCTGCTTCATCAGCTAGCAGAGTACAAGTGGGAATTGCTAAGTTTCATTTCTGGTTCCCACTCCATGTGTATTCTGATTATAGTAAAACTGTCACATATGAAGCTTCATTCTCCTGTTGTGCTTCATAAGGCTTCCAGAGTTGCAGAATGAAACAGGTAATATCTCTTACCAAGGCTACTTTTTGTTACCTTTCTTCCCTCTGTAGGGGAGCAGAAAGATGTCTCTAAAATATTGAACTGAAAGGATGTCATTGGATGACTCAGAAGAATTGTTATTGAGGGTGCACAAAGAGGTTAAGCTAGCAAAATAAGCAATCTAGACTTATAAAGAATAGATCTTGCTTGCAAACAGTGATTGCTTTTCTGACAGAATAACTAAAGTAATTGAAAGGACATTGAAATAAAGGACATGAAATGTCCTGGGTTTATATAAAACACTTGAAACAGCTTCTCATGAAATTTTATTCTAAAGAATCTGTTAAAGTGGGCTTAAATAAGACATGGAGTGAGAACCAGCTGCAGCACTGTAAACAAAAAGAAACAGTAAACAACAGGCCAACAAGGGAAAAAGATCTAATGAGAGGAACAGACAGATTCTGCCTTAGGAGCCCTTATGTACAGGGATCTGTAAGACAAAATAAAACAGCCTTTCTCTGCATACTGAAAAAAAGCCTTAACAGCCCTTATAATTAGAAAGGCAGGATGAAAAGGAGGAGTGGGTTTCATGTGGAAAAATGGCAACTGGAAAAAAATAGCTAAGAAACACAGAAGTGAAGGCGTCAGTTCCAGCGCAACTGTGGGAGGGAGGAAAAACTGAAGGGACAGCAGAAAGGAGATCTGGGGCTCCCTGTTCAGAAATATCCTATTGCAGGGTCTCTACAGAGCAACACGGAAGCAGTGCTCTAATTCAGCAAAGCCCTGGTACCTGTGCACCAGAAATGACAGAAGAGACAGAGGGAACAACCATAATAGTTGAATTGCTTGGACTTAAAAGTGTGCAAGTATTTCAAATGCAGGTGTTGGCAGTGCCCAGGAGGAGAAGGGCAAAGCCATTGACAGGTATCTGAGGGATGCAAACACCAAGAATAGAGAAAGAAAATGTAGTTACAATATCTAGTAGTGCAACCATTCAGAGGAAACAGAGGGGTGTCTTCATTAGGAAATGGCACCATTTCAGCAGTGGCTGTGAGGAGTTGGTTTGTTGGAGCTGATGCTGACTGTGGCTCAGCAAGGGAGCAGCTCAGTCAGCCTCAACACTGAAAAAATGCTCTCTATACAGGATGGAAAATTTTCCTGAAATATGGAAGACTTCTGGGCAGTGTAACTTGCAGGACTCTGGAATATTTCCTAACAGGAAATGATGAAAGCCAAAATCTTTAAGAGAGTTAAACAAACCTGAATGAAAAAGTACCAGTGAACGTAAATGTACAAGATAATTTTGTACTGATTCCAAGGGAAGATGTATAATCCTGTGTTAGAGCAGGCAGGGAATGCTCAAAAGTCTCCATTTCACCAGGACTTTTCATAAAATTTTTGCAAATATTTGCACAGAAATTTAATCCTGGACCTGGATAAAGGAAATTCTGACAAAGTGAGGGATGAAGGTTTCATGAAGGGTTTTGGGTAGGGAAAAGGAGAGGCAAAATAGTCTCCAAACCTCTTTCTGTCTAGATCAGATCAGCATAGTCTTCCCCATTCTAAACTCTTGAAGATCTCTGATTCATTTCACAGCCCTATAAACAATGAACAACATGCTTTTTGGCTTTGCCTGGACAAAGTGGGGAGCTGAGAGGCATTTCCAATACCTTTCTAAGAGCAGATTATTGGTAGGTACAACAAGCACTTCAAATGATGCTCTTTTTTATGTCTTTAGCACATTCATTATGTATGTGGTAAAGCAATAAAAATCCTCAGACTCAGAAATGCTGAGCATTAAAACCACATCCTTTGTGGTTCTTCAGCATCCATTTCCCATCCACTCCCTTGTGTGACCTGAACAGAAGGATAATTTCTTACCCCTTTATCCACGGGGACCTTCACATCCATAGTGAGGTAGCCTGTTTCCCCATTGATCATGGCAGATCTCAGCTGCAGAAGTGAACAGGATTGGTATTAGTGTCTCCAGGCAAGGCAGGACAGGAATTAGTACAGCCACTTGTCATTAACATACAGGGGCTGGCAGAAAGAGTGACTGGAGGTTCCCTCTCCTCCCCAGCTCTTTCTTGCTTGTTTTAAACTGAAAACCTGGTCACAGTGGTCAGAATCCTTGTTCAGGAACAAGCTGATAAGTGACACAGAGTAGTAAGGCCAGGATCGAGCTGATAAGTGACACAGAGTAGTAAGGGTTTATGCTGAAAGATTGTTGATATGCCTTTTTAGCAAAAAGAGAAGATCTGGAATCTATGAAATTGCCAGTCCAAGTTTCAGACTTCACTGTTTGGCAGGCAGAAAGTCATTAGCACAGTGCTTTGAGAGCCTGGAAGAGGAGATGACTGAGAAACCCACTAACTCCCCCAGACTGACTCCAAAGCTCTTCGACATTTTTAAAACTGATTTATAAATTACAGGCTGTATTCAGCACCACTTCTGTGGTGCAGCAGAGCAGCTGTTTAGCACAGCAAAGCAGGACTGTATAAGAGCAGGGTAGGCAGTGGGAAGAACACTTTATTCAACCCAGGTTCCAAAGACAAAATGTAATTTTCACAGTGATTCCCAGCCTCTTGCAAGAAAGAGCCAGGAAATTCTTCCACAAGTGCAGAGGCTTTGACTTTAGGTCCAGGCTACCAGAACATATCAGTCCATTGCTTCAGCCTGAGTAGAAAAAATAGGTGGGAAGTAACTCAGTCATTCACACAAATTGTTTCCTTGCTTGGAGAGACAGGCCTCCATTCAGGTGCTAGCCAGTCTCAACTGCATGTGCTTTACAAGGCCAAATCTTGTTTATTATGGCTGTTTGATGTGGGTTATTTACAGACTGAGAATATAAAGCTCATGTTTCCCGAGACCCACGTCTTGGAAATCAAAACACTGACTGGTACTATTACTCCTTTCTGGCTAGGAGTGTTTGACCTCCTGCCAGAGCCATGGCATCCTCCCCATTCTGGTCTGACAGCCTGCAGCATTTTCTGTTGGTTCTGGGTTTAGAATCACAGAATGTCCTGAGTTGGAAGGGACTCATGCAGGAGGCCCTGCATAGGACAGCCCCAGGAATCATACCATGAGTCCAAAAGTGTTCTCCAAATGCTTCTTGAGCTCTGTCAGGCTTGGTGCTGTGACCACTGCCCTGGGGAGCTATTCAGTGCCCAAACACCTCTGGGAGAAGAACCTTTTCCCAGTATCCAACCTAAACATCCCCTGACACAGCTCCATGCCGTTCCCTTGGGCCCTATCACTGGTCAGCAGAGAGAAGAGATCAATGCCTGATCTTCCATTTCCCCTCATGAGGAAGCTGTAGACTGCTATGAGGTCTCCCCTCACCTCCTCATCTCCAGGCTGAACAAGCCAAGTGACCTCAGCTGCTCCTGGTGTGGCTTCCCCTCTAGACCCACGACCCTTCCCCTTTTTCCCCCTCACACTGCAAATATCTCTGTGTTGCTTTACAAGCAAGGCCAAACCCTTGCTGCCTAGCTGCAGATAGTACCCTTGTGCATCAACTGGTGTTTTCCAGACAATGCCATCTTCCCTGCACTAGGTTTCTTTATAGCAGCTGGCTGTGTTACACATCATTAGCACTTGGGCATATTTCTGCAGTCTGAATTTGCTGCTTATCAGTGTTGCTGAGATTATACTGCAACTGATGTTGGGTCTGTCATTGATCTAATACCATAGCTACAAATCTGGGTGTTGAAGTGTTGGCAGCTTTCTGCTGCAGTGGGTGTATCTCCAGAGTCTCTAGGCTTGCTGAAGTCACACTGCAGATACCGTTCACGTCACTGAATGTCTCTGTGCACTCAGTGACTGCAACCCACCTTTCTTCTGGAAGGTGCAGTACAGGAACACAAAGTGGCTTTGTTTTCATGCCTGTTCTTACTTTTTTTTCCCCCCACTGGATAGTTTTACTCTGATTGCCTATGGGCAGAAACCTTAGACTTAGCTTCACGTTTGCATTCAGGTATCAGTGTTTTTTTGGTCACACGAGAACCTGCTAGCCAAATAAATATGAGAGCAAAGCAAAGTTCTCTCATTTCCTGGATTTTATTTTTAGTAGCAAACTAGCTAAAGGGGAACAGCTCTAAAGGTGGCTCCAGTAAGAGAGAGAACTACAGTGGGATCAGAGCTTCTATAAGAGATCAGTGAACCAACACAAAGCCACTGGCAACTTGCATCTTGGTGGTTCCATACATGTAAAGCCTCTTATTTTTGTGTTCCTTTCCATGTTTCACACCCAGTTCTGCTGTGTTTCCTTTCTCAATTTGCCATTCTTCTGCTTCCCAAGTTCCTTTAGTGTGCCCTTTGTACTTGGCCTGCACTAGTGGCAGTAGCTACTTTGATCCTGTTGCTGGTCAGTTTGTCCTACCTCTTTAAGTGGGTATCTCTAGCATCAGATCCATTTATCTAATCAGTCTCCCCTGCAATCCAGAAGCATGTGTCTTGCAGCTAATTCTTACTCCAAATTCAGTTCTTCTCTTAGTAACTTAAGTATCTATTCTCTCCTAATTCTTCTGAGTAAAATAAAACTAGCCACAGAGGAACCTCTCTACCTTCTCATTTTATCTGGGTTCCTCCTTGTGCAAAGCAGCAATGTGCAGTTGTTAAAGTGCATGCTGTTTCTTGTCACTTCTTAATAATTTTGCTCAAAAACCAGTAGAAAAGGTATTTTATAATCTTTTCCCCCTGGTCAGCTATTGTTTTCAGTGCCTCCACACCTGTGGTTTCTGGAAATTTGCTTTTCTCAAGTGTCTAAGTCCCTTATCCTCTTTGCCTCTAGCGACTGCAAGCTTTAGTCTCTTTTTGAATGTACTTTTTTCCTTGTTGCAGATCTCATTAGTTGAGTGGCCTCAGCTATATTTCACATCTACATGTGTATGGGTGACATCATGGGACACTGCCACACTCCCAAGCTACCTTGGCTTTGTATTAAGGCAGCACTGGGGCCATGTACACACTTGTAGCACCCCCTGCTAGCACTTTCTCTCCTTTTTCCATGAGAAAGAAAACTCACACTGGGAGAAGACAAGCACTTTGTAGGGGAGATGCATCCATTGTCCTTTTGTAGACCACCAGCCTCTCTTAGAGTCAGTCAGGCATAGCAACAACCAAGAGCCCCCACTGCTCTCCTGTGCCTTCCATACAGGCACACAAAGTAATAGAAACAAAGAGCTACTAAAAAGGCTAAATTCACTTTGTGATACTCACTATTTCATCCCGGTCTTCCCATTCCACTTCTGAGAGATCCACGCTGTTGTAATTTGGCTTAGGCTTCAGTTTCTTTCCTTCTTTATACTGGTGTTTATTCAAAAAAACCCAACAAAAACAAACAAACAAACAAACAACAAGTAAGTGGCCAGATAACTTCCTAAACCAACCCTTTCAGAACTGGTATGCAATTTGAAAAATCAGGGTGTGTCATTTATTCTGACTAGGAAGGCAGTGTTTGTGCAAGTGCCTTCTTGGTCCCATGTCATGTATTTCCTTATGCAGGCAGTGCATGGCCAGGAGAGTTCAAGTAGGAGAAGGTCATGCAGGAACAAGGGACAGACAGGCACACAGGTAAACTTGCAGGTAAAAGCTACAGCTTTCTTCTAAATACATCAGTACAATACACTTACTTGCAGAAAATCAGGTTTTTCCCTGCAGCTAAGAGTATAATCCCATTAACATTATAATACCAGCAGGAGATCTTTGCTGATGGGAGTTAGGCTTTGACTCCACTGACAATAGACTTTACACCTAGAGCTAACTGAGGCAGGAGAGCTTTTTCACTGTAATCTTCTGGGTGAAGCAAAAGGCATGAAGCAGACTAAGGCCAATTTAAGGTGGAAGGATAAAGCAGTGCCCTTGCCTAGTTTTGCCCTGCCCTGTCCTGGACACACTATGTGTCCCTTCTCTCCACATATGGATATAATTGCCCATGCCTGTGATCTCCTTGTGCCAAGCTGCTCTTTTGGAAACAGCTTCTGTGAAGCCCTGTGGTGGCACTTTCTCTTGCTGGTGACCACACTGATGCTTAGAGCTGTGTGCAGGTGCCAACCAGCACATGCAGGAAAAGTGAAATCCTCACGTGCCTGGGTATCTGAGCAATGAGGCCCCAGCTGTGTGTTTGCAAACAGATGTGCAGTCTGGAGCTCCAAATGGCACTGCGGGAGAGAAATGTCCTTGTGTCCACTCCCTCAAGTTCCAGAAGGTCTTTGCAGCCTACTGGTCTATAAATGGTCCCTGACTTACTGTGTTATGAAGATTTAGTGGCACTGGACCCCGCTAGGCTCAGAATCCTAAAATGTCCAAACCCACAGCAGCTGGGTAGCTATTACTGGGGTGCTACTCAGGCTGAATCTCCTTGCAGGAGACATGCCTGAGCAAGGGGATCTGTTTCTGCAGCCCAGCAGTGAAACCTTGCATGGACACAGATACACATGCACCCACAGGACAGCAAATGCAGACAAATGCAGCCCTCACACACAGTCTGATGGAGAACAGAGAGGCAGGGCATCTGACATGTCATACCTGTGTGTGTGCATATATACATCTAGGGACGTGGAAATGATTTCTCTGGCCCTCGTGCTCCTGGGTGTCTGTGTATCAGAGCCTGGAAGCCTTCACAGCTCAATAAACCCACTCAGAGGCACCCCTGAAAGTCAGTGTTTTCAATTCAGCAAAGGTTCTCACAGCTCTACATACCAAAGGACGCAGGTCTGGGTGGGAAAGGATGTAGCCGTTGTTGGTGTTCAGAAAGGCGTATCCATGGACACCCAGCTGGAGAAAGAGGCATGAGAATAATCAGTGCTTCAGCTAGAAACACTGCTGTGTGATGGGTGCCACTGATACTAGGGCACCACCAATACTCAGAGATATTTTCCTTTTAAAGATATTGACCAGCAGAAAATAGGATCCATCCTAAACCATTTCTCTCTGGCTGCTCTGTCTGAGCAGTGTGACTATGCTTGGATGCACAAAAGCATGGACAGGTAGTTGGTTTGTGCACACATTCAGAAAAAGATGTCCTCCTAGAGTCTGACTGTCATCATGGACAATTACCACCCAGAGGTCCACATCAGGCACAGGAGAGCTACACATAAAATGGGCAATGATGGGGAATGCTGTAAACAGTACAGCAACAGCAGTGACAGGTCTATGTGCCCATCACTACATGTGCAGAGCAGTGAATGAACAAGTGAGTCTGAATCTCACAGATGGCTTCCCTGGAAACCCAGTCAGCCCTCAGAACAGCTCTGCGTTATGTTTCAGTGTTGGCAAGATCAGACCTGGCCTAGGCCAACTGTACAAGCCTATAGTCTTAAAATGCTTTTTATGGAATAGCATAATCTAACAAGTGCAGACACTCACTGACCTGATCTGCAAGAGATTTCCGAGAGAGCAATTACTCAGCTCAAACCCATATATAACACAGATTCCAGCTAAACCCTGAGTTACTAAAGACCTGCAGATAGCCTGCCCTTGCCAAAACAAGAGGTGTCTCAAGGAAAACAAGAATGGCTAAGGTTTCTATCTTAAAAAAAAATTGTTGTGACTTTATCTTGCTATAGAGACAGTCCTGGAGGGATAACAGTAGGAAAGTGAGGTAAATCATTAACAATCCATCTGTGTGTTCAGGGAATTAATTCTGTATTTCACATATCCAAGATCAAAACTTTGGACTGTCTCTATGTGAAGCAGTTTTTTGCAAAGCACACTTGGCTCAGCTTAGCATGACAAGAATGAAACCAAGACACTGCATCAGTACTACAGCACACTTCTTTTTTTCCCTATTAAAGCTGAAATTTCCCAACCCAGTAAGCACAATCATAAATATACAAAGTCTCCAGGGCTGGAACTCTGGAACTGGACCTTTAGTAACTCATATGCCATGGAATTCAAGTTGTGGATCCTAGGTTTCCAAACTGTTTTGGAGTTGGCAGAGCTACTGGGAAGATGTGTCCCTGCCTCTGATGTAAAGAAATCCTTCAAATCATTTTCCCTCCTTCCCTGGGACTGCTTGGAGGCAAGAACAGTGTCTCTCCTTGGCCCAGAGGAAAGACTATTGTGGCCTTTGAGCGACATGGAGAGAGGAAGATGAAAAGGTATTAGTCTTACACAGAAAATAAACATATAAAAATTGAAGCTCCAGGACAAGGTTCCCCCAGCCCCAAACCAGCTAGCTGTTCCAGGGTTGTCTGAAGGATCAATTTCCTACAGCCACATGTTAATGGTCTGCCCTGAATCCATGTCTGAAGTGCCAACCAATTCACAGATTCTGACAACACCTTCAGCTCTGTAGGCCTTCAGCAATCAGGTTTTGGACAACTGCCTGACTGGTAGTAGTCATCTGATAGTTACTTAAGAGAAACTGAAAACATGAAATGGTGGCTTGAATTGCCTGATTTCATGGTGGTCCTCAGACATGCTTGTTGTCTCCTGGTGTGTTGCCTGACTGAGCAAAGGGTCACTGCATGAAATTCACAGCAGAAACCAAACCCAACAGTGCACCTCTGGAGAGAATGGATGAATGTGGATTTTTCAGATACATTGAACACAGAGCTAATGGGAAGTTTTTTGACTCACAATTCTGAAGAGCAAACACTATCTAGGTACAGCACAAGTGAGTGAGAGCCAACTTTCTGTACTCTGTCCTGTCAGGAAATCTTCATGCTGATCTGATGAAAGGAACCTCTAGGCATGACAGAGGAGTTGGCTCTCTGTAATCCATTCAGTCCTCAGTTTTTTCTGCTGAAGAATATTGACAGTGAAGCTAGTACATTTTTTGCCAGCTGGCATGGCAGCTCTTGTCCACTGGGAACTGGATCTAAAATCTTAATTCTTCTAAAACAGGCTGTCATCTCTTAGGGATCTATGTTGGTGACCATCAAGATGCAAAGGCTGCATGACCTTTTGCCATTCTACTGGATCATCCAGTCCTTGTGTTCCTGTCTAAGAGCTTCTAGTAGGGAATGATTTCATGTGTGCTATACAGAAACCACACATAACCACATCCAGCATGTCTTCCTTTATGTTCATGGGGTTTTCTGCAGGCAGATAAATGGCTTTTCACTCATGCCCATGGAATAATGACTAGTGACTCTGCTGGGCAAAAGAGCAAATCACATTATCTCAGTCTTACCTTATACCGTGGAGCAAGCTTTAACAACTCCCTCAGTGGAACATCAGAGCCCACCACACCCAGAAGAATGCCATGAGACCGCTAAAAAACAAAGGAGAATCCATTTTCAGGAGCAAGACCTAGGCAGTTTTCTACGTGAAAACACGTTGTCTCCCTACTAGTCTCTCACATATCCTCTCTAGGCTTGTGTGAATATATTAATTCAAAACCAACTAACATACTTCAAAAAGTCTAAAGGGATTGTTCCAGTGTTCATGGAGAGGAGTATTTCTACACAATACTAGTCAGTATTCTTTACTCTGATTCAGAAGTAACATAAAATCACTGAAAACAAGTTTTGAGGGCAAACCCCATCATTCAGTATGTGTAAATAACAATAAGGTCAAGACAATCATGCAAAACAACATGGACAGGTTGGTAACTTGGGTCAACTAAATCAAATGCCAAATACAAAATTGTTAACCTAGAAAAAAAAGGAATTCCCACCCCCGAAATGAGGAACTGATTGTTTAATAAGCATCTGGAGAGCATGATGGAAAAATGACACACAGATTCTCATTGCAGCGCTGTGCTAATACAGGCTAGGGCCAGTCCCAGCTGGAAAAGGCAGACAATTGTTTGTAGGGCCTGGATGAAGAGTTTATCCCTTGTACAGCAATGGTGAGGTACCACCCCCCATTTTAAAAGGATGCTGAGAAACTAGATGTGGTACAGAACATAGTGTCTAAAGGGTTCCAAACCCCAGTGGAAATGCCCTTATCAAAGACATCTAAATTGTTCAACATTTTTCTCTTATCAGGATAGACAGGTTTGACTTTGTGGCAGTGTAAAAGATGCTTCCCAGGAGAACACACTAAAGGCTACAGGTTTTTTAATCCAGTAGAGGAAGCCATTATGACAGAAAGGTGGGGCCAGACAAATCGAAAGTGGAATTTAGACAGCAGTTTTTAACAGAGACTAAGAAACCACAATGGAGAGCTTGGGGTGGCAAAGGCTACAGGTTTTTTAATCCAGCAGAGGAAGCCATTATGACAGGAAGGTGGGGCCAGACAAATTGAAAGTGGAATTTAGACACCAGTTTTTAACAGAGACTGAGAAACCACAATGGAGAGCTTGGGGTGGGACACCATTCTTCAATGACACTTTTGCCAAAAGCAGGTTCTTGGGCTCATGAAGGACCATCTGTGTGAAATGTAAAGGTCTGCAATAAAATGCACAGGCTAGACAAGGTAATGATTTCTTCTAGCCTGAAATTTTAGGGTCTCAGTTTGAAAATGGAAGGGATAAAACAAGAAGTGTCATGTTTAAGGGATATTTGGAAGAACTAACATTCAGAGAAAATGACAGGCTATCATTTTGTCAGATAAATTATCAGCCATCCATCCTGCCAGAGGTCTACTGCAGTCCCTAATAGCCAGTTGTCCTTGCAGAGACCCATTGGATTGAAAACCCCACAAAGGTTCACTGCAACGTGTCACCTTTGCTGGCTGGGAGAAGAGCAAAGCCCACGCTGCACTCACCGTCTCGTTCTTCTTGCTGAAGACAGGCATGGCCACTGTCGTCATGAGCAACAGACTCTGAGCCTGAGATGCAAAGAGCTGCCACAAAACAACAGGATGTGTGTTAGCAAATGCAATACCACAGATAACCCAAAGGAAAGGCACTGGAATTCCCAAGGACCCCAGATGATTACAATTAGCCACCTCCTTGCCTCCCACACTTCTGGAAAAACAGATGGCAACACTTTTAAATACTCTGTATCCAAGAGGATCCTGTGAAGGATGCTTGCTCGAGTGGGGTGACAAGAATGGGATGAAAGCCAGAGAAATGTGTTGAAGCAGGAGAAACCAAAGAGTTGTTTTAATGACGAGACAGGAACCTGTAGAAGTGGTGGCACAATTTATATCCAGCATGTGTCAGGAGTGTAGACATGAGCACTTACGCAACAAGTATAAAAACTACCAAACAAGGAGCACAGAACAGAGAAAAGCAACACAAATATGAGCAAAATCACAAACAAGAGGTCATATGTACTGCAAACATGTGAATACCACAAATGAGAAACACCACAGGGAAATGTTTAAAAGGCACAAATACACACAAAGCCTCCTTACAAATACTTATAACTCAACCATCTCAGCTTAGGGAAAACAGAGACAAAATCATGATCAGACAGATACAACAGTGAGCTATCCTACAGGGCATACAGGACATGCATGCGTGATGGGATAACAGATGCTCCCAATTCAACAGAAGACAGATGCTCTAAAAACACACAGGAGAGGAGGTAAAACAGGAAACACACATGCAAAAGAGTCTCACAAACATGCCCAGCTATCAAAATAATCTAATCCTTCGTTGCCAGTGGCATCCCCCCCTTCCATCTCTCATTTGGTCAAGGAAGGAGCAAGGCAAGAAATGACCTCCTGTCTCAATTACTGTACATTCTAGGAGCCACAAAGGAGCCTGTCAATAATCTGCAGTCACTTGATGGAGATCTGAGCCTGGTATCTTGAGTTACTGCCCTAGATGATTCTCTGTGGAAACTTCTCACCCACAGCAACACTCATACCAACACACAGCAAGTAAATTCTCCAGCTCTCACTGGACATACGGAAAAAGAGATCAGGTGAGCTAAGCTAGTGCACAACACAGATACCCCTGTCTACTCTGAACCAACAGCACAGCACAGCTCTCCAGTACATCCAGCATTTCCTCTCCTCTCCTTGCCAGTGTCAGAGGACTCTTTGAGTGCTGTAACCCCCACCCCCTTCAGATGTACAGGCCAGCTGTGGCTGTGAACGCTGGCACTGACACACCAACTAGCACAAGGGAAACAGCACACTCACAAAACACAGGGATGCAGTTACCTCCTCAGACTGTGGCAGCTAGTGAGAGACATGGATGAAAACATGAATGAATACATGAATGGAGACATGAATCAAAGACGGTAGAGGCTGGGACAGAGAAAGAGAATGGCAAGCCAAGAGGCAAGAAGAGATACAGCAAAGAATGTACAGCAAACAAATCCCTGTGGCTGCCTTGGCAAGTGTGACCCCACACACCCGTGTCAGGGGTAAGAGATACAGCAAAGAATGTGCAGCAAACAAATCCCTGTGGCTGCCTGTGACCCCACACACCCGTGTCAGGGGTGGCATGCCTGCTGATAAAATACACTTGCTGGGTAATTAGTAGTGTTTCTGGAGGTTTAGCTTAGCACACTCAAGTACCACATCCCCATCTCTTACTTGGCACAGCTCCTGCAGCAGGAGACATCCCCACGTCACCCTCATAGTGTGCCATGGCTGCAGCCTCAATGGGCAGCCACAGCACAGCTGTGGGGAATGGTCCCTCCCCACAGCAGCCTCCTGAGTACAACTGTGTGTCACGATGGTGCAAGCCTGGCTGGTGGGAAGATATTTCTTGGGGTTCATATGCACGATGGTGCAAGCCTGGCTGCTGGGAAGATATTTCTTGGGGTTCATATGGTCTTGACTCTGAGTACAGTATCAAGTACTGCCATGTGTGACTTGGACCTCCATGTTCCGTGATGCTCAGTGCCCCTACTTTTACTCCAGCTCAAAGAATTCATGTTTCTCACCATAGATCTTAAACCTGAACACTGTGGGTTCTCCTCAGAGCTGTGGCAAACACCCTAAAGCTGCTGCTGGCCATACTAGAGCCAATAATTTTGGTCCCACAGCGGGATTGTGTATGGAAACAGTCTCAATGTTTTTCCTCTCAGATAGTATAAACAGTCCTGAGACCTCACGTTTGTTTCTTGAAAAGGGAAATCTGACCTCTGGTCAGCTTTAGCTGTCACAGTTCTGCAGACACTTCACTGGGGCAGGGAGTCCAGTTTAGGAAAAAACCAAAACTATCTCCCACACAGAAGACACAGTGAGCCCCAGAAACAATCCTGCAACTTTCTCTTTCAGCAGTGTAAAAAGGTATGGAAAGGGAGACTGAGGAGTGCCTTCTGTTTGGGTAAGTGCAGGGGGAGGTTGCATCAGTGGTCACCTACTCCTTTGTCCTTCCCTTCACTCCTTTGAATTTCAAAGCTGCCTTGGCACCACTATACTGTAACAGCACCTGCTCATGGTCCCAATGTCTTCCCACAGGGGCACTGGGGGTGCTGACTCTCTGGTCCTTTGCAATGTGTCCTTTACCCACAGGGCTGGGCACAGGACCACTGTGGTGACCTTATGTTTTGCTAGCTCAAGGAACAAAAGGGTGAGCCTACTTCTCCAGCTGAAATCTGTATCTTTGAGTGGCAAGCAGTCAGCAGTTAGCTGCTGGGCTGGAGGAAATCGGTCTCTGACCTGTACCCTGAGCCCTGAATAATCTTTCCTGTGCATAATCCTTTAGAAGGTAACCTGCTTTCACAGAAGCACTACTTAAGTCAAGTTGTGCCTGTGTGATTAGTCCTGGGTCACTGCAGATTCAGATCTGAGCCTGCATACACACCTCAGCTCCAGGAGCAAGCACAGCCAAAGACCAGTAATTTCTATCAATCGACCAGCTCCTGGTTTTGCATAAATTTCAAGACTTCATTTAGATTCTGATACACATAAGATATTTAGATGGGAAGCTGGGACAAGGTATATGCCTGGCACACTAGCAGTGTGTCTAACACCTCTGCCAGTTTGGCCCCCAGGTCCTACTGTTTGCTGACTAAAGACTTGTGCTGCAGGTCCTTACCGCACTGTCCATGTAGGCTTCAGTCCAAATGATGTCATGGTCGTGGTTGATGACCATGGGACGGCTGAGCACGTGCAGGTATTCCATCACGTTCTCCTGGACATCAGCCAGCGTGGAGATCTGGGTGTAATAGCCTTTACAGAGAAACAGAGATGTGAGTCACTCTAACACATCTTCCCTGTGCAAAGCTAGAAAACTGGAAGGCAAAGGCTGTATCTACTCAGGCAGTTAATCTGCTCTTCAGAAAAAGTGCTGTGACAATCCTCGTGTCCAGAAGCTTCTGTGGACACGTTTCTGTGGAAACCTAGAGTTTCAGCAGTGGCTCTGTTCTTCTCAAACTACTGAAGCTATGCTCAAGACTAGAGTCTTGAAATAACCAGACTTGTGCAAAGCAGATGTAAAATGTGGCTTTGGGTCTTGAGCAAAACTTTCCACTAATCAGGCTGCCTTTGGTCCTGGGCCCAAACATATGCAAACAAAAGTATTACCCACGTACCCTGCCCTATTTTATATTGGGGCCAAACTCCTGCCTTCCCTTCCAGATTTTTTCCAGCACTCTTTGGTTTGCCTAGCTTTACATACAAGGGTGGTGACTACTTCTGTCTACCCAATAGGAGCAGAACATAAAGTGCAAGCAACCTATTTCCAAGGCTTTGTCCCTGCAGATGGACCCATAACAGTCTAATAGTACAAGGAGTACAGGGGAAGAATGTTTTCAAGTTATCAAAAGGTCCTCAAAACCAGCTGCTGGTTAGAAATGCTAACACAGCGTAATGTCACAAGGACTCTTGTGTCCTGCTTTTCATGACATGGGTTGATTGTACTTGCTGTAGGATAGAGTATGTCAGATAGATGGAAAACTTTCCTGTCACCAGGAAAACACTGTCATGTGAAAGGGCTCGTGTTCTGATAAGCTTTGTGATGTGGAAACAGAGTTAATGTGCTTGAAAATAAGGACTGTAAGAACTGTACAATGTGTTGAAACAGAATAACCAAAGTCAGGAAGCCTTCTAGAGAGCTCAAGTCTGCAAAGTGAGAGTCCAAGTGCAAAGAGCATATTTTTGTTCTCTGGTTATTCAGAAGAACCCATTCTGACATTTTACAGCAAACCAACAGCACCATGAATTCTCTGCCACTCATCTTATGGCTGAATATGCAATCTGAACATCCAAGGTTTTATTACATTTAATGACTAAAAATGTTATGTATAATTCCTAGCACTAATAGATGAATGTTTAAGCCTTGAACACCCCCAGCTCACAGATGTCCTGCAGGTCAGAAACTCTTGTCTGTTAATTATTTTCAGTAGCAAATGCCCCCATGCATTTCACAGTCTGCTGAAACCACTGTTCAGACTGGGAAGCAATCGATGTATCCACTTCCCAGCTTCAGTCTTCCCTTCCTTTCCCTGTTTAAACAGAACACTGATGTAACAAGCATCACTGACTCTCTCCAGGCACTCTGTGGCTAGGTCATGCCCAAACACAAGAATACTTTTTTTCCTCCCCATTCTTCCTTTCCCCTTGCAGACTCTGATAGCACTACCTTCACTTTTCAACTAGCTCCAAATGCATAGAAGTGACTCACTCACCTACTGTGAATGGATTTTCCCATTCATGTCATTTCATGCCAGCTAGAGAGAATGTTGGGGTTGGGGTGGGATTAACAAGCTATTCTGGTACCTCAGTGAAAACCACCAACACACAAAGAATTTGGACAAGATACAGGGGTTAACCTGCAGACCTTGTGAAAATGCTGTAAGATATTTGAAGAAGAGATGTTTGTTTTATGTCTCAGCCAAAAGATGTCAGGTTCTCTGACAGAGCTTTAGACAGATTGTCAAAAGCCAGTGACTGGGACACGATAAGCACAGGGACTTAGGTGGACTACAGCCAGCATGAATCTCGGTCATAGTGTCCCTTGGCACCATGACAGGAAAATGCAGTGTCTCAGCATGGATGACTTGTGTTAGTTGGACTCAGACACACTTCACGTGGACCAGCAGGCTCTGCTTTTTCCTTAGGTTGTCTTCCAAGCAAGGGCTCGTGGGCCCCAGCTGTAGTGGGGGAGCCTTAGAGGGATCCAGGGTCCCCTGGCTGCAGTCCAAACATGACACATGTGATGGGTTTGGGGACACATTGCCATAGAGCACCTTTGTTGTTGCAGGCAATCCATTTCACGTGGGGGGCGAAGGTGACCTCCCGTCCAATGAGGTAAGTGAAAACTCGGACCTGGGAACAAGAACCCAAAGATAGAAAAATTAGGCACTAATGTGCTACCAAATCCAAATGGCCAAGGTTTGGCATCCTGCTGTACACTGGTGTGAATACCTGTCTGTGGTGCAGAGCAACAGTTCTGCCTTCACACAGAGACCAGAGCCTCTTGCACCATTTGCTTCGAATTTTGTGGGCTGGAACTTAATTTCCAATTACAATAAGCCCAGAAAGCCAAGTAGCACATGAGATCATCTGAATAACAAGGCAAAAGTGCAAATTCTGTTTGATTTTATGATAGCAGCTCTGCCAGGCACTCAGCAACCACATATGGAGAGGTTTATAGCTCACAGGAATCTTTTACCCAGGAGAACAGCTGGCTGCATGAATCATTTAGAGAAAGCTTTACCATTTCCCTTGTGTTTGACCACCAACAAAAGAGCCAATCCTGAAATGAAGTGCTTTAACAGCCCCCTGCTCTGGTCTCTCAGTAGGCTGCTTCTCTCTCTTTGTGCATTGCTGCTAGCTGGGATCAGGTAAACAAATAAACCAGGAGGATTTAGGATGAACTTGGTCTCTTCCACTTTCCCAGTCAGCTCTGCTAGTACAAGCCTCTAACCACAGACCTCAGAGTAAACAGGGCTAGAAAGCACCTAGAGAGGTTGTTTGGGCCATTCCCTGGGCCACTATAAGAGTTGGTAATAGCCAAACCTTTCTCAAACAGGACCAATTATAAACAGTCCTGCATGGTATTAAAACTCTTTGCAAAATTTTGGGGGTTTTGTCCAATTTTGAAAAATGCAAACTCAGTCTTTATGATCTTATCAAGAGAAAGTTTTGATTGTCCACATCTTTAGAAAACAAAGTGTATTGAAAAAAAACTAATAAACCTTCACTGACGTAGAGATATCCATTTGTGATCCTACTCCTCAAAAATCACCACAGCAGGATCCTGCCTGGCTTGCTCTGTTTTATGCTTACAGCTGGGTGCATGCTGGTATTGGAGGATGTGAATGCTCAGCTCTGCCCAGGATCCTGGCTCATGCTCTTCTATTCCCACCATAGCAGGATAGCACCTTTCCTCTCCCTTTCTATTTATCACTTCCCAGACAAACCTTCCGATCTGGCCAGTTGTATTTCTCAAACACAGCTTCATAATCCTCCACTGCTCCATCTGTGATCAGCATGATAGCTTGGTTACACAATCCTCCTTGTCCAGCTTCTCTGAACTACAAACAGAGAGGAAGAGCATTGGTTAATCTCAGCACAGGCTGCTTCTGAGTACTGCAGCCCACTTACTGGTTGGGAGGGGGCCTTGAGCAACCTGCTCTGGTGGGAGGTGTCCCTGCCCAGGGCAGGAGGTAGGGGCTGGATGATCTCTAAGGTCCATTCCAACCTCTTTACATACTATGAAACTACCTATGGTGGGCCAGATCCTGACTTCCTCTCGCAAACCTCACGCTGTGCTCAGAAACAGCTCTGCATAAACAAAGACTGTGTTCACTTGCTGCATATCATTGTTTTATTTCTGCAGCCCTGCTTAGCACATGTAGACACAGGAGGCTTTACAGAAGCAAAATAATGAGGAGAAAATAAGTGCTGTGGAGAAAAGAAATGCTGTGGAGGAAGGGTGAGATTCCCTGCTGCTTCACATCCTGCAGTCGCATTCGTTTATGCAAAACAACTATAGATTGACCATAAACACTGCAATTCTGATTTGACAGCAATAACTGTCACTTTTTATGGCAGAAAATGTGAGAGGAGTGGGAAATCAGACTCATTATTTCAGGGTAAATCCATCAATCTGCCAAAGGACAGCAGAGAAAGGCATGACCACGTGAAAAAAAGAAGGCTACTGCCATCAGAGCTGAGAAAGGTTATGGATGTGCCAGACAGAGAGGGCATACACTGTGATGACAGATGACCTGTTATCTATGCATAAGTGATATTTAAGGCAGAGCAGAAGTATGCTGGGACTGTGGTACAGACACTGATGTGCTCCCAAGGACACCTGGGGAGGTGTTGAACAGATGTGCTCTTACAGGCAAGCCAGACTCTGACCGTTCAGCCTGGAAGAACCAGTCTTGGAATGCTGCTTATCTCATGCTCCTGCCAGCAGAGCCATTTGCCTCTCATGCAGGTACCCAGCTCTAGAGAACTAAGTGACTTACACAGCACCAACCCAGGTGTTGAGTTAGCAGCCACCAGAACAGGTAGCGGAGGACATCCAAGACACAAAAATGAGCAAACATTTAGCTGCAGCTCCCAGCTTGGTGTCAGTATGTGCTTCTCCTTGCACTGCAACTCACTGCTTCTACATTCTGAGCAAGGAAAACTCTAATCAACAGAGAAGAATACAGAAACTGATGCAGAGTAAAAAAAAACTTGGCAAGAGGGAGAGATGACAACTCTGCACAAGAGATTAATGAGAGGCAAAGGCACGAGATGAAGAGCACCCGATAGACTAACTGAAGGGTGACTAGGGTTATATCAGACAGCAGCTATTTTAAACTGGAGAGGATAGTTGTATCTTCTAAATGAGGAAAAAAGTGTCCAAGTGGTAAGACTTACTGCATAAAATGAAAGCAACACTGGATGGGAGAACAAGAGCCCAGAGTGTGAACTGGGACTTTTTAGATGTTTTGGGGTTCGATTCACAACTCCCTTCTGTTTCTCTAATGCTCTTATGATGGAAAAATGTTTTCACCACCACAGATGTGACTGTGGGTCTGTTGCAGATTAACATCATGACCATCAATACCTGGATGCCAATTCCATGTCCAGATTTCCACAGTCATTTCACCGTTCCTACAATTACCTCTGTGATTGTCCCTTATTGTGAAATTACCAGGTTCAGTGCTAATATCGCCGTAACGTCACCTTCCATGACCATCAAGGCTATCAGTCCTTCCTCCTTCAACATTACTCCTAATATCATCAAGTACCTGTAACTCTATGGTAGGAAGCATGCCTTCCATGACCATCGACGCTATCAGTCCTGCCTCCTTCAACATTGCTCCTAATATCATCAGGTACCTGTAACTCTATGGTAGGAAGCATGGGCTCAACAGCTTCTGAATGACCACACATGTGAACCCATCTCTCTCTGTTTCATTACTTCCACAGCTCATCAGAATCAGTACAGATGATCATGAGTGACAAGAGTGGTGTAGTAGGGTCATTTCTAACTAGCTGTTCTCAGGCAAAACATCCATGTGAATTACTAAGTCAGGATGAGGTGGTTGGCTGTGCTCCTCCCTCTTTCATGTCACCACAGCAGCACATTCAGAGGGGAGACAGACAGTACCTCTGCTTGCCATGGTCACACCAACCATGTACCATGGAGCTGCTACTCCTTGTACCATGGCAAAAACCCATCAGTGTAATTTGATTACCGGGGAGTTTGAGCTCCAGGAGGGGTCAGAGCCCACATGCCCTCTGCTCAGCATGAGGGAGACGCGGGACAAAGGCTGAGGGTGTACAAAAGGAACAAGCACAGGCTGCCCTTGGGTGCAAACAAAACAAGAAAAGCAGGTGACAGTCACAGGGGATACTGCTGCAGACCATCAGGTAGGAAAAAGACAAAGAGCCTCAAGTGCACTTAGTGCCATGGTCTAGTAACCACGGTAGGGTTGGACTTGATGATTTAGGAGGTCTATGGAGGAGCTATTTCTAGGACAGAGATCAACTGCATGCAGATTAGCAGAGAGAACAGCCAGTGTGAGCGTCATTAGGGAGGCACAGGGTTATGGTGGTGCAGGAGATCCTGCCACAATGAGGTTCAGATCACAGATATGTGAACCTTGCAGTTACGAAAGCAGCTTATTCCAAACTGTTGCAATCTACAACATGCTTGTTTAGATGATTTTTAAATTAACACTTAATTAAGGTCACCCATCATTTCCAAACTACTTAAGGCATTTCTTCATGAAGCTTACTTCAGATCTCATAATACCAAGATACTGAGAAATTAGATGCTGCATCAGAACAAGCAATCTCCTAATTACAGGAGTAGATGATATTTTCAGCAGGGAAAATGAGATCATCAGTGTCATAGAAATAGAGATTAAAAAGACAGATTTAGAAAACAAATGAACAAGAGGTAATCCCTGTTTTTTAGGTCCTTTTGTGACTGGCTGCAGCTGTAGCAAATGATCTAAGAGCATTCACATCAAGCTCTGAGCATAATTCCCTGCTCTGACTGAAGTCTCAGGAGCGTGAAAGAAGGGTAGATGAGGACTAAGATGCCCAGAGAATAGATGTCTAAAGAGATGCAGGCTAGAGCTGGGTCAGTGAATGAGACACAGAGTTATGTATTCTCCTATATAACTTCGGTCACATTGCCAGGACTAACAGACATGATCTAATTAATTCAGGGTCACAGTCTCTTGTACTCCCTTGTTTGCTCATTGCCATTTACTCTGCAGTTATAGCCTGGCAGAGAGTTACTAGTGAAGCAGTAGGAACCATCAGCATCGCTGGGAGATGCGCAGGCACGCGCCCTGACTGTGTACACATCTGCCCCAAGCAGCCCCTCTCCTTCTCCTCCTGCCACATTCCTATGCAGAGCTGCCTCCAGAACTACTGAAAATTCATACCTGGGAGAAAGTGTCTCATGGGTAGAAAATTAACAGTAGAGAAGGAAAGAAAGCTAGTGAAGAAAAAACAAAAAATGGCATTAAGAAATTGGTAGGAACTGGTAAGCAAGAAATCCTGATCTTTGCACATCTTGAAAAATATGCTGTAGAATCCAGGTCCATAAAAATGACTAGAATCAAGGAAAGACTGACAAATGTTCAGAGAAGAAGCAAGAAACAGAGTAAAAAGAGCATTTTGCCAGATGACAAAAAGCAGAGGGAAATGGTCGGGCAGTGATGCTTTATAGCCTCCATACTTCATCCTCAACACGACAATATTGTAATGGTTTGGTACCTGCTGAAGGGATTAGAAACAAAGAAAAGAGTGAATGTATTACAGGCAGGGTCACAAAGTGGTGGGGCTAAAGAAGAAGCATTTGAATAATCTGTGCTCAGCATGAAGGAAAGAACTGCAGAAAGTGTAGCTGAACTAGTTGCCTCATGGGCTGAGACCTGACTTGGACTGTGTGACATCCCAAAGGATGAAGAGGAAACCGACAGAAAACGTGTTACAAGAAAGGAGGAAACTAGATGGGTAGATTTTCCTCAAACATCTTAGCATGTTGCTAGAAAAATGTTGCCTTGTGAGTGCACAGATGAAAGGCTTCCCCACACAAGTGGGACATAAGAGGTCGCAAACCTTTGATTACTCACATCAGCAGATGGGTTCGTTCTTTTCGTGACACCAGTTTGCTCAAGTTACTCAGAAATTTGTGTCTCACTGAAATCCAGTTTGCTACCAGTTTCATAATCTTTTTCATCTATAGCCATTTTGGAGGGACCTACTCATAATTAATCTCAATGTTTATGCAATATCTGAGCTCAGCAGTGAGTCAAGGCACCATTAACCCAGCTTGGTGTTAAGAAGAGACATCATTGCAAGGTGGCCTAGGAAAGCAGAACTCGGTGTTTCTTTTCATCCACAGGATGGATACAGCATCAGCTTTCAAAATACCTAGTTACTCTGAGTGGATCCTGCGAAAGTAGGACACAAGTGTCACAGATTTTCATAGAATAAGAATACCAGGTTGAAAAGGGGCCTCGAGGATCATCTGTCTAATCCTAAAAGATTACTGGATAACAAATATATGAATATATATATATATATTAGGATTAGAGGGGTGTGTTTGCATATGTATATGTGTACACACATGTACACTGGGAAGGAGAATCAGTGGCTCAAACAGCAGACAGGAGGCTGGAGAGAGACACTGCAGAGACAGAGCACTTGGACTGGAATAACAACATGAGTGTCTGAAAAAAACGTAGCTGTTGTCTTACACTGTGTTAAGAGCACTATGGTGTGTAAAACAGGGAAGGCAATTATTCTGCTCTGCTTAGCACTTGATAGCTCTCAGCTGCAGCACTTACACACTGTTGGGAGGATGGTGTTTCAGGGAAGGCAGCCTGGGAGCAGCCACAAGCAGAGCAGCAGCCAGAACAAAGGGGTATAAATCCTGCAGGAAAAGGGTGAGAGAACAAGACGAGCCAAGCTTGTTGAAATAAAGAAGAGAAGACAGGAGTGAGATAGATTAGAACTTGATAAATAAGAAAAGGGTTCAAAAGATACCACTTGACACCTGAGAATTTTGAAGCACTTCATAAACGTGTACTTAAAACCATGGTTTCCCTGGGATGCATATTTTATTGAAACCACTTGGTGTGTGGCTAAATTGAAACAGAGAGTTGAAGTGGTTTATTGAGCATGGCAGAGAGAGGTAGGGGAGGCTCTGGCTAACTGTTCTCCTGAAGCTGTTCTGCAAATTGCATCATGGTTTAAAATATGCTCTGTCTACCCCAGAACATAATGGAGGCAAACAAAGCCTGTGAGAGATGTGTGCTCTTCTTCAACCCCTCTTTGCTACTCATTCCTCATTGAGTAGGTCTCTGCTGGGCTATTAATTCTATGAGCAATTGGACTGAGGAAAATTACCAGGGAAATTTTGCAGTCACTTTCATTACAGATATTATTACTGGTTGCCTATTGTAATCAGCAAAGCTTATTTCATCAGTGTGATGTAGCAATTTTCATTTCCATTCTCTTGCGTATGCTCCTGTGAACAATAACAGGACAGTCTGTGAGGAGCAGCTAGGATTACATGCTGAGAATGTGAATTTTGTCTGATGAGAAGCGGGTGATCAATTCCACTGAAGTTCCTTTCTCCTGCCTGCATGACTGCAGCAGCACAGATGTGTTCCAGGCCACACTGATGAAAACCCTGTTCCTCCACTATTACCAGTATAGATCTAAGAATCTCTAGGAGAAGATTTCAGAGAGCCCTTAAGCCATCTGAGCACTTGGCAGGTGGTACCTTTTTGCCTTAAGCTGTGGTACTTGCAGAGCCCAGGGTCCTTCAGCTGGTGATATCAAGGCACTCTCTAGATGAGCCCTTACCATGGAAGCTACAGGCTGGGGAAAGCTGCTGCAGGACAACAGGCACGTGCTCTACATTTGCATGTCTATGGACATGCAGCCTCTGGTGCTGCTCCATGTGCACAGAGACACAATGTCTGTCTCTTCTGAATGTCACCAGGCAAACAGAAATCCTGGGAAGAAGATGCAGGAGGGCCTGCATGTCTCCTGCTGCATGTGCAGCCATCCCATAGCTGGCTGGGAACAAATCTCCCAGCTGACGGCTGCAGTGAACTCAGACTGAGGTCTCATTGCACTGAAGACTACACAGTCATGGTCCATGCTACAGCAAATGACATGCTGCAAGAAAGCTGCAATCAGTGTTACTGGGGAAGGCAACCTGGGTGGAAAAGATATATAGCCCTGTTCCACACCTTTCTTTGACAAAGTTAATGTTTCTGAACTCCTGATTTATGGACAGCTGATTCCAAGATGCAGAAAAGTATGACACCTTTCCTCATGTGCAGGTACTCAAAGGAAAGATGCCCAAATGCTGAGCCAGTTGCCTTCTCTCCAGGTCTGAGGTGATAGCACAAGGCATGAGGGAAGCATTGTGAGTGAATACCAGGTGGTTTTATCACCACTGGGTGCTGCACTGTCCAAGAGCAATCTCAGAGCTGTTTTGAGCTGATTAGCCAAGGGTGAATCAACAAGGATCATGATAAGTGATGACTACTTAAACTGTGGACTGCATTTTTTTATGCAAAATAGAGAGAAAAAGTAATTTCGTTACCTACAAAAGAGTTTCTACTCTATTACTGCACTGGAGTAATGTTAATCCACTGGACTGCATGTACATTACA